GATACTAGATGCTCAACCACTGGGTGGTGTATTTTTCTTGGAGATTCTCTCATCTCATGAAAATATAAGAAACAAAAAACTATGTCTAAATCTTCTGCAGAAGCCGAATACCGAGCAATGTCCTAAGCTTGCGGTGAAATTACTTGGTTGAGAGGCCTTTTACAGGACCTCAATATTCTTCATTGAACTCCCACACCATTGTATGCTGATAATATGAGCGTCATACGTATTGCGTCAAATCCAGTGTTTCATGACGGCACAAAGCATATAGAAGTTGATTATCATTTCGTTCGTGACAAGTTTCTAGCTGGAGAAGTTACACTCCCATATATTACCTCCCAACAACAACTTGCAGATATCTTTACCAATGCAATGACTCGTGCTCGTCATGACTATCTCGTTGACAAACTGATGATGTTCACCCAACCTCAGTTTAAGGAGGAGTGTAGAGATACAGATAGTAGAGATAGTCAAGGAGATATAGATAGATGTTCACCCCCTCAGTTTATCTTTTATTTGATGTAGATATCTCTCTTGATAAATATAGATTAGTTCATTATTATCAATAACTGATTAGCCCTATATGTATAAGGGATTTTGTATATTTTTAATGAATCAATACACAATGATTTCCCTGGAGGATTCAGAAGTTTAACATGCACCTTATCGCTTGAGAAAGAAAAAGTTAGCCAACAATTTTTATTTTTGCAGTTTTAACGAAAAGAAATACGTAAAAGGTATAAGTGAAAACTTCTGCATTACCTTTTATAATAGGAAAATGTTTTGATGAGGCTACAACTCAATCAAAACAAACAAACCCTCACCTCAAAACTTATCGAAAAATTTCAGTTTTGATATTGGAAAACTTTTAAATCGATCATCTTGATTTCAACCATTATGGTTGTTGAAAAAATTTAGGATTTCAAGCTCTAAAAATAGTATATATTATAATAAGTTGTCTAGATTGTCCATTTCACCCTAATAATTAGTATTCACGGATCTGTAAGATTTGTATTATTTTTTTAGCTTCAAATTTAATAGTTGGTGTTGAAAATTGATTTTAGAGCCCCCGTAAGAAAATTTTGATACCCAAAGTGCTTTCCAAACGAGGATATAAGGTGAGACTTAATTTTGTTTTCATAAAGCTTAGGCCTTATAGAAACGGCATCTATTAAAATAAAACCTCAAATATGCATCCACATGTGAATAGTGGAATAATGGATCCACGTGTGAAGACAAATATACGGGGAATGTTTCCCACCTCAAGATTCATTTTATCACGAATTAGGCCATTTCATTTCATAGTAAAAGTTTTAACCGTGATATCTTATTTGCATACATATTTGCATGAATCAAGCGTATAACACACTATTTACATATGTAAACATTTCTCAAAAAATATCTACAGGCGAATCAAACATATCCTAACTTTTTATTTGCACGCACTGACACCTTAATACCCAACGTGGAGATAAAGGACCAGCTCTCAATTGGTCCAGGGCCAGCTTGAGCTTCACAGAAATTCATTTTCCTCGGTGATACAAATTTAGAGAAGGCTTAAATTCATATTTTATTTTATCAATTATTTTTTGGGACATGATTGGGTTTTAAATTATTGTTATTCCTCAAAAATGGGGTTTAAACTATAGGGGTACCAAATTGGTTTTTTTTAATTATTGAGACATGATTGGTTTTAAATTATTTTTATTCCTCAAAATTGGGGTTTAAACTATAGGGTTTTTTTTATTATTAAGGACCCGGTTTTTATGCGACCAAGCCTGCATATGTAGAAATGCAGGCCAATTAATAAATTTATTTTTGAAATAGATTTTGGACTTAATTTTTAAAGACATTTAATCTCTAATATGGAGTTCATGAATAAGGAAAATTAAATAAAATTTAAAAACTAGAAATAATATTTCTAGTAATAAAACATTTGGACCCTTAGTTTCTATTGTTTTTAGATAGAACACCTATTTGCATCCATTTTTAAGATGAATGCTTTGCACTTTTGGAAACGTATATGTAGTCGTGCGGTCCAGCCGGCATGAAACAATTTTTCTTTTATTTAATTATTATGGGATAGTGTGGTCAATTTTTTAATTGTTAGGATTGACATCAGATACTTTCACGATCAAGTTAGTTAACTAAAATTCATGAAATTTTCTTGTAATCTTCAAAACATTTGATCTATAAACTCACAAAGTTTCAGCCTCTAACAAAGTCAAGTTGACCGCAGCCTACTCTATCTAAACAAAGCTCGTGACAATAAAGCCTACTCTATCTAAACAAAGCTCGTGACAATAGTGTTACAAATAGAATTTATTTATTTTTAGAACAAAGATGTTCCAATCATTTTTATCTGTTACATTTTAAATCGGATAGTTGAAAGTATGTTATTGACGAGACTCAATATTTCGAAATAATCCATTTTTAAAATAATCGTTTTATACATTAGGACTGCATACGTAGAAATGCGTTCCAGCCCGCATGAAACAATTTTCCTTTTTTTATTTGTAGCGTTATTTGATCTTTTATAGATTTGTTGGAAGTTTTGTACCATCTTGAGACATCATCATGGGTTTTGGGTTTCGAGTTTTGAGGCTGAGGATCTTATAGTCAAATTATTGTTTTGTAATGGACCGGGTGGCAATAGACCGGGTGGTCTGGATGTAAGCCAGCCTCCTTTTTTTGTTATGTGCTTGTGACTCAACACTCTCAAGTCTCTTGCATTGTGCTCATAATAATAATAATAATGTGAGATTTATTAAAAAGGGTGCGGTTTGTATAGAGCCTAGGCTCTAAACAATCAAATTAGAGCCTACCTTCAAATAGTGTCGAGAAATGTGATTTCAATATTGAAAATTTTTTTGATAGCCTTAAAATATGTTTTCATCTTTATTTAGAAAGTTTAAAGCATAAAAAATAATGTAGATCAAGAGATCTATAAAAACTTGAAAATTTTGAAAATCGACGGTCAAAAAATGCGTTACAAATACATTATTTCCAAAACTTGAAATCCATTTTTTTCTCATATTGATGCATCTTGATGTCGAGATGATCAATTTGAGGATATTTGGGCATCAAAACGACCTCTTCTAGTTAAATTTTTGAGTAGGCTCTAATTTGATTGATTAGAGCCTAGGCTCTATATATACTTTTCCCTTATTAAAATGCTTATAGTATTCAACATATTACCCAATTGCAACTATTCCAACTCATGATCATCTGTCTTTTGATGGGTATTTTAAAATGAAATCAACAAATATGGATAGAATGTTAAATAGTTCATAAATTATGATATTTAAATGGATTCCCCAAGAATAAATAAGCTATCACCACACTATAGTGAAAAGGAAGATTCCTCCTTTGTTTTCCTTGAATTTTACTCGGTGCGGCACGGCCCAGCCTTGATAGGGCTAGGGTTGAGCTTGCGCCGGCTCTAGTGATTATAAGACGCGCATCATTCTCAAATGATCCGTCCAACGTTGATAGAGAGCTCCGCACCATTAAAGTAAAACAATTCTCTTTTCACGTTCTTCTTCCCTTATCACCATCCAACTCATCAATTGGACAGTGATAATTTTCATGAGTACATAACTTGTGTGGTCAAGACACAAGAGGATCACAATGTATTTTCCAGTGGAGAAATAAAGTCCATAGATCACAGTTTTATATTCTTTGGAACACTATTTATCCTTTTTTTTTTCCCCTAAAACGTGTTCAATAATTTTGAATTTAGTCTATTTTGATTGGCCGAAGACAGCGTCTTCTTTGCACAAAGCAAGGTAAAACTATCAAAATTACCAAAAAGAAAAGTATAAAATGAGACCATTTACCTTTGATACAAGATGATCACATTAATCTTGACCATTGGATGTGAAATTGGGTGGCTGCAATTATTCCATTAACCAAACTCGCTTCAAAAGAAATTTTTTCGAACTTTTTAATACATCCAAGCTATCAAATTTTACATCAAATGGTTGTAAGGAATTGTCAGCACATTGTACCAAAGATAAATGACTCATTGTATACAATCCCTTACCAAAATCAACTCAACTCGAAGTGAGGGAAATCTAATAACTCAGGTTTACCGTTTGGTGGATTATAGTGTCGGATCGGTAGAGATCACCGATCCAATGGATCTAAATATGTAATTTAGAAAATATGAAAAATAAGAATAACAAAAAATTAAAAATAAGGATTTATGTTTTTTTTTTGTGGGGGGGCCAGGTATAGAAAAAGATTATATAAGAGAGAAAAATATGTCTTTAACGATGCAATAAATTGTCAATATTTTTCAAAAAGAGATAGAGAGAGAAATATGACGTGTTTTATGTACATATGAAATCCACCATTTAAAAAATTGAATCAAGAAAGAAGGGGGCATCTTTTTTCATATTTTAGGGGTCATGAGCACTTATTTTCTTTTGAATTTACCGATCATTATCTATTCCATTTGGTGGCATACCTAAACTTTGGATCCAACCCAAGAATCAAAATATTTATATATTTAAATATATTAATAAATTGCAATCCAAAATATGATGTAAGACCCATACCCGGACCTGATTGGACCCAGACCCAACCTCAAATAGTGTTCAGATCCAAGATTTGAACCCAAGACCAACCTGCCGGATCCAAAGTTTGAACCTATACCTGGTCTCAAGTCAGATATAAGCGTAAGGTTAGGGTCGAGTGCCACCCTGGGTGGAAATCCAAGTGCATGGCGTACAAGGGGTCTGGGTTCACAGGGGAAACACATGACAATGAAGGTGTCCGTGTCATTGCGAAGAAAGAAAAGGGCATGATGATCAAGGTGCCCATGCCAGAAGGCGCTTTTTCCGTACGCGCTCTGGCCCCCTCCTTTCATTTAGCCTCAAGAGAGATGTCCGTTAGCAATTAAATTGGACCTAAAAATTCTCTTCTGTTAACAAACCTCGTCATTTAATATTAGAGCTCCTTGAGTGAGAGAAAAAAAAAAGAAAAAAAAAAAAAAAGAATCAGAGCTCCTCCTCATCTTTTTCCCTCTGATTTTTTTTTATTTTACAGAGTTTATTTTGATTGTTTCCTATTATTTATTTTAATCATTGTGGTTTAAGCAGGGTGGTGGCCCTTTTAAGGACCAGAAAAGTGGCATTTTTCAGAAGGCCATTCATTTTATTGATTTTTCTGGGTGAATTTGCAATGGGGTGGTCTCCTAAATCTGCAACCAATGCTTATCTCGACACTCTAAAGCTGGTAAGATCATAACATGCATTTTATTTCTTTTCTATTTTTTTTTATGTAATTTCTTACTTATTATTAATTCATTTCTTTATTTAGCTTTGTTCTTTCTGGTGCTACAAGACATCAAAAATCGATGTCAATCTTTTTTTCCTTTTTTCAATTTAATGGGAATCACTGTGTTTTGCAGTGGATTTTATTTGAAATCTGTGGCATAGATATGTGCAAATTTTCTGATATTTAATGAATTTTTTAATGCAGATTGTCGTCAATGAATTACTTTTCAGAATAAATCCAATTCAAATTTATTATTTTTGGAAATTGATTAACTGAATGTAGAAGAATAACGATACTGGATAATAGAAATATAAATGACATTGATATTATTAAGGAGCATTAATATCCATTTCTCATTGAAAGACGATCATTTAGAACATACATCAAGAAGTGGGGTCCAATTTCTTAGCCCTTGGATCGCTATTTGTGATGGATGGATGAATTTATTTGGCTAAATTTTTATTGTCAATTGAATCCTACGTCCCCATCTTAACTAAATATAGGATCCAAGGGCGGGAAGGTTATCATTTTCCTTTTTTATTATTCATCATCATCATCATCATCATCTTAGTTTTATCGTAACTATTTGGAGTAAGCTACACGAACCCCTGTTATGCTATTATGTCATTTCCTCTTTTTAATTATATAAAAAAAAATTAATATTAGCCAAAAATATTAAAAAAATTTAGCTAAATTAACATTGCCCACTTTTTATTAGATTTTGCCCACTTTTTATTAGATTTTACATGGATTCAATGGAGGATTTGGAGATGGTGGGAATAAAGGGATGAAGCATAACCTCATAACGGTTGCATTCCATCAAATCATTATTCCACCAAATTCCATCCCTCTACTTGTTCTCTGAACTCCACATATGTGGCATAAAAATCCTAATTATTATTTTTTTAAGAAATAAGAAGATATATTTTTTAATTATGGATGCGATTTAAACAAGGTGGCAAGCTTCCTTGTAAAAGTAGGGTGCAGTATTCTATGTCGTGCATTATACATACACAGCGTTGATAAGACAATGTCAAAAAATAATACCCTGTTTAAAACATCATCAAAATTACACCATCTAAATAAAATAAATTTTATATTATTAGAACCTTACTTCTAAAAGAAAGATCCCGTTTTATATTAACCATTTTTTTTTTTTTGAACTTGTATACCTACATTAAGTTGTATACAACTGCAAAGCATTTTTACATTAAAAGCAGACACCAAAGTTTCTTAAGTACTTCAACATCATCTTAAACCTTCTCAACCTTCCGTTTCAATAGGGACACGTCATTCCTCTTCTAAAAAATTCATAAGGTTTTTTTTTTTGCCTTTTCGTTTTTTTGAACTTCAAATGGACAACAAGATACCCGAGATATCTCCTGTTGAAATTTGAGGTCTGAGGCAATTTTAAGAACGGTAGGAAACTTTAGTGGGCATAGGATATAAATTTTATCGTACAACCTTGTCACCAGCTCTTTTTTAGTATTAGAGAAAGGCATTCTAACAAAAACAATGATTTTTGTTTTAAGGGATTGTATATTATGAGACTATTTATCTTTGTTACAAGGAGGTCACTATTACTTCTAACCATTGGATATCAAATCAAATAGCTTGTGGTGTGTCACAAAGTTCGAAATTTTTTTTTTTTAAGCTCTAAATCTAATCAATTAGACTCTTTTAATCACCCAATTTAAAATCTGACAGACAACAGTGATCGTGCCTACCTTGTATTAAAAATAAATGACCTTTCTATATACTTTTCCTTGTTTTGGTTTTGATTAAATTGTAACGCATAATAAGTGTTGACAGGTAAAAGAATCAAATATTGAGTCTCATGGACATTACATGATTGTAAATTTCCCTATAATTGTCAACAATAAGGACTACACAATCATGATACTGATTCTAGTTAAGCTCTTAACTTTAAAATCATATTATTTTTTGTTCTTTTGAATAGGTTTAGTTTGGTTATCATGAGGACAAATCTCAAGGTTGGAACCCTTAACCTCCTCTTAAGTGTTGGTGGGACCCCACTGGACCCAAGGCTACGTGAGAGCTATTGGCTACTTGGAAGGTCTTTCATTATATTTATAGAAGTTGCTTAGGCACTCGATACACTTTGGTTTACAAATGCTTATCAATGGCAATAGTTGTTTGTTTTTACTCTAAGTGTGTCTTTTAGACCTCAAATTTTTTATGTAACTTCTTCAACTCAATGTCCAACTTAGAAAATTCATTCACACTCCATAGATGCCAATAAAAATAAATAAAAAATTAGGATTCGACAGAAGCTATCTAAATTTTGGACAGTGAGATCGAAATGTTTGGATACTCAAAATTTTTCAAAATTTTATTTTTCTTTTTCAAAAATACTCATATGGTTATTCTAAAGTGGATCCCGCTTTATAACTCTGAAATTTTAGACCAAGAAAAATTCTCCCAAGTTTGTCTTTTCCCAAGGGAGTAATTATATAGTGCACTCCTGTGGGAGTACAACATAAGTACTTTTTTGTTGGATATGCTGGATTTTTCAACCTTGGATGTTGTGTTGCATATATTGCAACCTTTAGTTTGGATATGAATACATGTGTTTACATTGCTCTCGATAACTATGATAGACTTACTATCTCCCTCTTTGTTCAGTGCAAATCAGAGCAAGAAAAAGGCCATGAGCAGGTCAGAGAACCAGAGAGCAATGAATACCTATCAGCCTTAGCAGCAGGCATGAGTGCACAACTCATAGTTGAAGTCTCCAATGGTGTGTCTCCATCCACTATAGCCTTAGCAGCGGCCGCCCGCCAAACGGGAGGTCGCCTTGTGTGCATTTTGCCTGAGCCCAACACCTTAGATGAGTCAAAAAAGGCAATCAAAGAGTCAGGTCTCAAGGACATGGTTGAATTCAAGGTTGGTGATCCCTTTGAGCTGGTCCCAAGATATGAAAACATTGATTTTTCATTAGTTGATTGCAAGAGTGATGACAATGTGGGTCTCTTTAAGTTGCTTGATGTGAACCCAAGGAGGTCAGTTGTGGTGGCCAGCAATCTTAGTGGGAGTAGAAAGGGGGTGGGAGGGAGTGTGAGTTCAATGAAGGGAAAGGAAGGGGTGAGAACTGTGACAAATCCAATTGGCAAGGGAATGGAGGTGACAAAGATAGGGAAAAGTGATGAGTTTTTGAGGGAGGTGAAAGAGAGGAGGGGAATTGGGATTCCTAAGAGAGCAAAGAGCAAGTGGGTTATGAATGTTGATGAGGAGACAGGGGAGGAGCACATATTTAGAGTGCCTAGGAGCATTTGAATTTTCATTTGAGACTGCCTATGTCTCCATTGAGCATGGAGCTTTTGAACATCTCTCTCTTGGAGAAAGTTTTGGTTGATAGGCTATTTACTTTACTATTGATAAATAAGGAATTTTGCATGTTACTTGGTATTTATTGATGTTGATCAAGAACGGGAAGGACAAAAAGTTTTGGCATGAAAGGGGGCAGGAGTGTGGATCAAGAGTCAAGGCACATACAAGGTGCCTAGTACAACTCCCCTTCAAAAAACTTGCCATCAATTTGAGGATCTATTGTCAAGTGAATTTACATTTTTTTGTATATAGGATCAAGTTCTTTTGTTATTGATGAGTTTCGATATTCTCCATTGTCCTCAATAAATGAGTTAGATGGATAGATGAAGCTTACTAGATTATATAATGTATGATTGCTTAATTTATTCGTGGGAAATTTATTCCAATACCATAAGATTTGGACTATTTTAAGATTCTACTCGTTTATGTTGATTTGATTTCAAAATACCCATCAAAAGACACATGGTCATAGGTTGGAATAGTTGCCATTGGATGATATGTTACATAATCATTTATGAGTATTTTGATAAGATCATGTATAATATGCTCCCTTGGGAGCATAATTTGTTTCGCCTGCCTCGATCAAATGACCTACTTGGGAGGATTTTTCAATTTGAAATTTAACCACCATAGATAATTATTCTCAAACAAAAATTTGAAAAATTAAACGGTTTCTATTCAATTTGCAGACATGATTTTCTTTCATGTGCATAGAGGTTGCGATTCATAAACTTTTTTTATTGAGGTTAATCTATGCATTAAAAAGGTTATATTCCCAAAATTTGGGGTCCTTAAACTAATCGGTTATCCGAGTGAGTAAATGGACGCTATACTCCAAACGGAGTAGAATATCTTTCAGCTTTTGATACACCTCCCTCGTATTATTTTGAGCATAATGCAAGAGAATACGCATGATTTTCAATTTTTCATTTTCTTCTGTGTGTTACTCTCTCTATTTTCTTCTATTCATAATTATTTATTGAGCATGTATAATCTGCTCTCTTTGGAGCATAGTTTTTTCTACTCCCTTGGTCCGAAGACCTTTGGAAGGATTTTTTCAATCTAAAGGTTTGAGAACTACTTAAAAATTACTAGATGATTTATTCTCCAAAAACATTTTTCATAGTTTTTGGTAAGTTCTTGGTTCTTAATTCACGACCACAAAATCATATAGTACTTCGGGATCCACATAGTCCCTAAACCACTTGGGTGGATGAATTACCCTTGTAGATTGTCTTGGAATGGATGGTGCAACTTCTTCTTGTAAATCACTTTGTTCACCAACTTGCCCAACCTCATTAATGGCTTCTCCAGTGGTACTTGTGGATACATCTTCCGTTATATGGCCCTCACTAAATGATGAAACATATGCTCGAAAATTAATTTCTCGGGTGTCATGTTGAGATTCTTTATTTTCTTTAATCTCTTTTTTTATACCTCTCGTTGACACGAAAGACTCATCCAAATGCACGTCCCAGTTTGTAATTAGTTTTCGGGCTTGGATCGAATAATTCTCTACAACTTTGGTATACTTCAACAAAAACATATTTCTTTAATTTTTTTGTTCAAGCTTCTTCTTTAATTAGGAATTAAAACATAAACATCACAACCAAAGTTTTTTAAATCAAAATAATCACGAGGGGTTATGGACAATATCACTTGGGTGTTTTCCACCCAAAGCCACCGAAAGTGATCGACTGGTGAGATAACAAATCATCATCACAGCTTTGGCCCATATATCTTGTTCCAATCCAGCATTGTTCAACATGCTTCTAGCTCATTCTATCAAAGTGTGATTCATCCCTTTTGTAATACCATTTTGTTGGGGAGTGTAAACCATGGTAGAGTTCCTCTTGATCCTTTTATCTTTACAAAATTTTGTAAATTCATCTAAATTATACTTCGACCCATTATCCTTTTAGAATGTCTTGATGTAGCATCCCATAAACTTCTCAATTTCAACCTTAAAATGCTTAAAGGCTAAAAAGTGTATCGCTCTTTCATTTAAAAGAGAACACCCATACCTTCATTGAGACGTCATTAACTACATAAATAAAATACAATGCACCACTATATGGTATTGTAGATAAGGGCTCCCATAAATCCGAGTTAATGTAATCAAGTATGGTTTCCGATTTTGAAAATTCATCTATGTTGTTTTCCATAGACATAATATTTACAAAATTCAAATTGTCCAAATATTAAGGTGGGAATTAGATTCTTTTTCACTCAAGTGGCCCAACCTCCTATGCCATAAGTGTAGTGAAAAATCATTACTCTCCACTTTCAAAGTTACCATATCCTCAAGAATGGAGCTTCCCAACAATTTATACAACTTCTTGATCACTACAAGAGTATTCTTAGAAACTTTACAAACTCCACCTTGCCCAATAAATTTATAACCAGTGGGATCCAACAAAGAAAGAGAAATCAACTCTTCTTCAAGTTAAACACATGTTGAACATTCTTAAATGTGTGAATACTTCAATCATATATCATTAATTTCACTTAACCAATCACAACCATTATTGTTTGAACTATTTTGCATCAACAAAAAACTACCCTCACATGGCTCATATGAACCAAACCATATCTTGTACGGGTACATGTGATTCGTAGCACCACTATCCAATATCGAAGTTTGATAGCATCCAATATTGCAACCCATGGTAAAAACCTCTTTTTTAATGAAACCGAATGTAGATTCTTCCACTTGATATGCCTCATTATTTGTCCTTTTTTTTTTTTTTGACAATTTCTCTATATATGACTAGCTTCACCACATCCCTAACAAACAAACTTGTTTCTAGGCCTTTAGAATTTGGTTGACCTTTGGACTTACCTCTTAAAGGTTTTTAAGAAGAATTGCCTCTTTCACTTGAACTAATATAGGTAAACTGTTGATTTCCGTTCTCCAACAAATGCCTTTGTTTAGAGTTCATGGGTAAGCAAAGTGTTACATATCATACTCAAGTCAAGTTAATCCTCTTTAGTACAACTAGTGTAGAAAAATCGAACTGGAACGGTTAAACCGGACATAGACCCAGAAGCAGTTCAAGTTGCCTAAACCTGTCAGTTCAACCGTTCTAACCATGCAAGTCTCGGGTGGTTAAAAAACTATTGAAAAAATAAAAAATACCAAAAAATCTAATAAAATATAAAATTATAATTAAAAAATTATAAAACGAAGTACATCCAAATGAAATTGAAAATTAATGAAAAAGTAGATTTTAAATAATCGATTTGTGCCTAAGGGTATTTTTGAAATTTTTAAAAAGATTGAAAAATATAAAAATAAGTCTTAGTGGCCAAAAAAGTTTTCAATAGTTTCCATAATGATGAAAAACATTAAAAAATTGCATTACAAAATGATTTTAAAGAATCGATTTGTGCCAAGGGGTACTTTTGAAATTTTTCAAAAAAAGATGGAAAAATGCAAAAATAAGTATTAATGGCCAAAATAAATTTCAATATTTGTTTGTCATAATGAAATATATTAAAAAATACATTACAAATAAAATATTTTATTTTTTAGGATTTTATATATTTTTTAAATTTTTTGTTTTTAGCAAAATACTCCCGGTCGCCAAAACTGGAATTGAGCGGTTATTGGTTAAATCGCCCGATTTTTCCTTCAATGAGTGCAAATTAAAGTTGTCATTAAATTATCATAACATTATGATAATGTACACAACAATATTACCACTGTCTTGTCATTATTTTCACCAACAATTTCAAGTTCACAAAGGATATCGTTGAAAGTGTTTAAATGATAGGAGACTTTTGTCCCTTTTTTTTTCATCCTTAAACGAAATAATTTTCTCATTAATAAATATGATTGGTAAGGAATGTGTTCGAGTAAACATTCTCCAATATCTCCTACAAACGCATTGCCTTCGTTTCTTCCACTAGTGAATTAGACCTTATTAGCTAAACAATTGAATGGGTAACCACAGCCTCAATATCCATTCCTTCTTCACTATAGTGAATTAGACCTTAATAGCTAAACAATTGAATGGTAACCACAGCCTCAATATCCATTTCTTCTAAAACCTCGTTACTTGTGGATTCCGATTTCCTTTCCTTTCCAAGTAATATTTTATATAATATTTGTTCGACCAAAAAATTATGAATTTGAATTTTTTATAGTTTTAAAATCATTTTTTTCATCAATTTCTTTCACTTCAAATCAATTACTTGTAATTCGTCCAAAAATATTGCTCAAAATCCAATGCTCTGACACCAATAGTTGGAAATTTGAATACGTGAAACCCAAATTAATTGGCCACTGAATGTCACAAACTCAAACTTGAAGTACGTAAAACCGATAATAATAACCAGCCCAAACAATCGTGTCCAATAAAATTAGAAAAAATAAATAAGAGATAGACTGCATAATAATCACAAGATAAAATAGAAAACAAAATTACAACACTAAATTTTACATCCCAGGAGGGATCCACCGGTAAGCCGACTAAGCAAAATTCCATTATTGAAAGAAATATAATTTCACCTCAATGGAAAAAGACAGGGAAAATCCTCACTAAAATACCTTATTGAACTCCCCAAAAACCCATAATTTACCACCAATTTCTTCTACTTCGGATGATCCAAGAACTCGTTACCCCATATCCCTTTCTCATCCTAAGCAAAATGAAATCCTAACATTTCTAGATAGAAAAAGAGGAAAACTGAAGGAAAAACTGGTAGACCCGCCCTTTACCACTCTTTATGACATTCTTTTTTTACGGTCACTAAGTCGCCAAAGAAAATACAAATGACACATACATTCGTGGTTTTCTAGCGGGCAAGCTTTTTATACTTTCTCTACAACATAAAATTTATATATTTCTCTGTATCCAACTGTCCAAATGGACGGTCTAATATGACCCCAATCACAATATCACGTCTCTACATAATTTTATTTTTAATATTTGTTTTATAAAATATTTTGATACCAAATTTGGGCATCCAATCCTTTCTTAAACTCGCACTTAAAAAAAATATCAAAAAAAAATCCTAATAAAATGAAATAACCAAAATAGCCTGAAAGTTTCAAGAGGTATTTTGGTTATTATATTTTATCAAAAAATACTTTTAAATATATTTTTTAGGTTCGCCGCATTAACAAGATGACATGTACCAAATTTCACATTCATACAATCAGTATACAAGAAACTCATTAATTTCACTTAACCAATCACAACCATTATTGTTTGAACTATTTCCTATCAACAATAAACCACCCTCACATGACTATTTCTATTTTTGCTCTTTTAGTTTTTTATAATGTAATTTTATTTTCGTAATTGAATAAAAGTA